CCCCCCGCCCCACTGCCCGAGCCCGCCCCCGCCGGCAGGTCGCCCTCCCCGGGGGCCCGGAGAAGCTCCATGCCCCGGGCTGGGTCCTGGGACTGGCCGCCAGCCGCGGGCATGAGCGGGGCGGCCACCTTCTGTGGAGGCTGCGGGTAAAGGCCTGGGGGCGGCGGGGTGAGGAGTTGAACCGGGCTCCAGTTAATGAGCATGAGTTTCCCGAGAAACCCTGCTACTAACTGCTTAGCCCTCATCTACTGACATTCCCCCGTGGAAATGCTTTGAGCAAATAATCCCTCCGGGAAGGAAAGGAGACTTGGTGAGACATTGTTTGGGCATTTCCACTCTAAAAGTGTAATGGGTGGTGTAAGAAGGGGAAGGACTTTTTACTAGGGCATGTAGTGATAGGAGGAGGGGGAATGGCTTCAAACTGGAAGAAGGTAGGTTTAGATTAAACATTAGGAAGAAGATTTTGCTTTGAGGGTGGTGAGGCACTGGAACAGGTTGCCCAGAGAATTTGTGGAAGCTCCATCCTTGGAGGTGTTCAAGGCCAGGCTGAATGGGGCTTTGAGCAACCTGGTCTAGTGGGAGGTGTGTCCCCCCCATGGCAGGGGGGTTGGAACTCGATGATCTTCAAGGTCCCTTCCAACCTAAACCATTCTATGATAAGAAAAGTCTATTCCCTGATGCTTACCCAAAAGTCCCACCGCTGTGTGGCTGGCTGTGCTCCTGTCAGGGTGCCAGAGCCTTCAAGAAGCTGAAGTTCATAGCCAGCTGTCTGTCTGCATTTCTGTTCCTTGGGGCCTCCTGGAGTCTGCTGGTGTGGGAGGGAAAGCGTTAACGTGCTGACTTACAGGCCCTAAAATATCAGCTGTTATGAGTAAACAAACTTTTCTGGATCGTGACTGTGTGAAGCCCCTAATTCTGCTGGTGGCTCACTGATAGCAGATGATGTGAAGGATTGTATCCTGGTCACATGTTGTAGTCCTAGGGGTTGTGATGCTTGAGCTCAAAAGTTCAAAATTTGGTTTGCAACTCAGCATAAAATGTACTCTTGCAGGTGAAGTCCTTTGTCTGTGACAGTGCCTAAGCACTTCTTTTTATTAACTTGCTGCGCTTTAAAGCAGCTGTTCCTCGCCAGAACTGAATGTGGAGCAGACCCTGCACTTGCCAGCCCCACCAGAACCCAGCAGCACCCTCAACCTCATTCTCCTTGTGGGTGGGCACTGGAGATGATGCTGCTCCCCTGGTTCCTGGTGGTGTCTTTCTGTGAGGAGTCTGTTGCAGCAAGTCAGCAACAAGCAGTACTTCTGAAGCACCAGCTGTAGCTGGTGGTTTTTCCAGTTCACTTTTATGTTATTGGTGGCTGTTAGGCGAGGAAAGTGATTTTATTTTCTAAACCAAGTGATACTTACTGTTGTTTTCTTCCTGAGTTGCCCTCCCACAGCGTTGCTCTGTGCTCTTTCAGGGCACTGCCGTTATCAGACGCTTCTCTGGCTCTGAAAACACCATCCCTTCATCTGGAAAAGATGAATTACCCAACCACATGGTCAATGCTACATCAAAGCAAGGATTTTCTATCTACATAGATGAACCCGAACAGAAAGAAAACTACAGCTGCCAAGCGGCTGAGGAGCTGGAGTCAAGCCTGTGTGAACTGGATACTAGTGCAATGAAATCCAGTATTCACCTACTGCTGGATCTTAGTACAGGTAACTCCTGCTACTATGAAGGTGGTATGTACAGCACAGGTACATGTAGGGTGGTTACAAATTATGGTGCTGGTAAGCTAGTGAGTAGCTTATGTTACAATAAATTACACTTTAAGATGACTTGGTTTCTGTCTACATGAGGTACAACACTTCTGTGCTAGGAATAACAGGAGAAGATTAAGAGGCTAATTACAAAAAATATCTTGCTGATTGCTCTTACCTGTTAGGCTCTCCTATGGTAGTGGACACATCCTTCCAGTCCCAGCCTGAGGATCACATGGGAGATTCCATAACTTTGACTGTGGGAGAGTATGCAGAAGACATCCATCAGTACCTCCGAGAGGCTGAAGTGAGTGGCTTGTAACAAGCTTATAGATACTTGTGGTCTCTGTGATGGGCTGCAATACTGCAAAGATGTATGGCTGCCCCAGGATAACTTGAGGCTGCCACTGAGCAAGCAGTGAAAGCCATCTCAAGCTAGAATCATAAGCAGCTTCTAGATAGTGATCTAGAAGCTCTGCATCTCAGAAATACCCCACTGTTGAAGCATCTCTTGATTCCTGGGGATGAAGAGTTCTTGCAGATGGGAGTTGAATGCTGCAAAAATAATAAAGCAGTTGAAGGCTGCAAAAATAGTAAAGCAGTTGGATGTGATCTCTCTGACAGCTCTATTGCTATAGTGGTAGTTGTTTCTGCCTTTCCAGATCAGGGCAGTAAAGTGCAGTCTCCCAATAGCAAAAGGCCAAAAATGTGATTTGTTCAAAGTTATTTTCAGGTCCCCTGAATGGCTCGTACATGCTTGATGGCAAAGGCTGTCTATAGTCCAGGAGGTCTTTTATTATTCTGCTACTAACACAAAGCTCATATCTCTTCAGTGTAGAAATACTACTTTCTAAAGATGCTGCTAATTAATACTAACTATAATTATAGTGCTAGTAGTAGTAACGAGTTAATAGTGGAACAACTCATGCTCCTTTCAGTATAAGTATAAACAAATGTTAATCAGCTCAGCCGTCACTGGCTTTCATCAGGGTGAGTGTCCTGATTCTTCAGCTCTCTCTCCAAACAGGCAAGATTCAGGCCCAAGCCCTACTACATGAGGAAGCAACCAGATATCACAACAGGAATGCGTGCCATCTTGGTAGACTGGCTGGTGGAAGTAGGGGAAGAATACAAACTTCGGACAGAGACTTTGTACTTGGCGGTGAACTTCCTGGACAGGTTTCTTTCCTGCATGTCCGTTCTCAGGGGGAAGCTGCAGCTTGTAGGAACAGCAGCAATTCTTCTGGCTGCGTAAGTGTTTATGGTCTCCTGAAATCTCAGTGAGCTAAAACTTATTTTTGGACTGAGTCTTTTAGTTTAAGGATTGAAGCCTGCAGCCGTAGGTAACTTTTCGTGATATCCCAAGATTTGCAACTTTGTCTACTTTGGCACTAACAAAATTAAGCATTTAATGTTTGTGATATGAGGAACTGCAGTGGGAAAACCATAGCAGCAGGAGCAAAACCACTACTGTATTAGGCTGCTAGCCTATAAGGCTGTAGTACATTCACAGTTGCAATCTGTAATTAGCCTTGAACGGCTTTAAGTAGAGAAGGTACCCAACATAGCCTAAGAGTGCATGGGTTTTTTGTCTGGAGCACACTGTGTTACTGAGACTTTCTGAGAGCTTGCTGTTAGTCCAGAGCTAACAATGTGAGTCTGTTTCTATCTAGATTGGTGACTTGAAGCTCCTCTAAACATCTTTGCCCAAATTTGAAACAAAATTGTTACCTATCCTGGAGGAAGGACTAAAATAAGCGCTCTAGACAAGTCTTAGTAATGGCATGTGCTTATCCTGATATTGATCCAGCAGAAAGATTTCTCTTACCATAACTTTCCAGCTGACAAATGTGGCTTCTGTACTCCTTTTTCAGGAAATATGAAGAGATCTACCCACCAGGAGTGGGTGAATTTGTGTATATAACAGATGATACCTACACAAAGAGGCAGCTGCTAAAAATGGAACACCTGCTTCTCAAAGTGTTGGCTTTTGACCTAACAGCCCCAACTGTCAACCAGTTCCTCCTTCAGTATTTTCAGAGGCATGGAGTCTGTATGAGGACGGAGAACTTTGCAAGGGTATGAATTATCCTCCTTTAAGGACTGAGGGGGAGAAGTGATCCTAGAAGTAGAACTGCTTGTATTTCACAAAGTTATCTGAGCAGGCAGGTTCTCCTACTATACTATGCTCTATCAGAAGTTACTCTTTCTCATGCCAGGTTCTCATGTTCTCATGGAACAGCAACAGGCCTAAAACTGGATGTTTGTGTGCTGAGACTTCTGAATAAATGTCTTGTGGAAATTGTTTCGTCTATCTGTCTGATCAGATGGCCTGGTCTAGTCATTCTGCACTGACTAGGCAGCTAGGTGGTAGGAATCTGGTTGTTTTTTTCAACAGTGCCTGCCTAGCAAGTGTGCCCCGAATGTGGTGGTACTATATATTGCTACACAACACCACAGCATATGCCTGCACAACTGCATAGGCAACCCTGCTTAGAAACAGGGTAACCCAAGCTTATAGTAAAACATATGACCTGCTGCTTATCTGGAAAGGGCATAGGATTGTAGAGTGACTCTACTCCAACAGAGCCCAAATTCTGTCCATTTATCCCTGATCTCCAAGTGAGGTCCACCTATGTGAATAAGAGCCTTGGAAGATGGGAAGAGTGTTTTTTATTTTTACAAAACATGAATTTTCTAAATCTCTATCTGTAAAATTATACCAGATCTGATGATGAGACCAGAACTTCAGATTACGGTGTGGATTGTTTAGGCTTTGTCAAAGTGTGGTCTTTCTGTCTCCACTGAAACATGTTAAAGGTTCTCCTGTAAGATCAATGGGACTAGAATGCTATTTCTACCCACCAGACATGTAACTCACTTTTTTTTTTACATGAAAGCAAGACTATTGACAATGTTCAGTGCTTGCTGTATTGGACTGACTGTAGTAGTTATGCTCATTCTGTTTGAAAGACTTGTGGGGGTTTTTTTTGTTCAGTATCTTGCAGAGCTGACTCTCCTTGAAGCTGATCCTTTTCTGAAGTATCTTCCTTCACAAACAGCTGCAGCAGCTTACTGTCTAGCAAACTATACTGTGAACAGGTCTTTCTGGGTAAGAACAACTGCATGTTAATAAGTAGCTCAAGCATTTCGTGTTCTGATTAGAACTAGACTGAGAAGCAGAAGGAGTAGCTTCAAAGTATGTTGTTAAAAGGCTGAAATCCCGGGATGAGTTGCTGTTCCTGAGCTAATGGGACTACCTGATAAATGAATGTTAAATCGACCTGAAATATCCTGCCCCTTCTCTGAAATGGGAGGGACCTTGCTGTCTTGCTCACTTACATAAAGTCTGTACCTAAGGTCTTGTCAGTCTTTAATCTCCAAAACTCCTCCCCCCAAAACAAGTCAGGGGCTTTCTGGGAGGGAGGGGAGAACTGAATGTGTCCACTTGTGTGCTGTGATTACACTGAGTGGCTGCTTTAATGCAAGCCTTGATAGGCCTTTCAGCTGTGTTTGGGAGGAATAGCTTTAGCAGACAGCAAAATCCAGAAGAGATGTAATGGATGCCACACTCTTAGAGCTGAAGGAGCTTCATGTCAGATCTGGCACCAAGGAAAACCTAGAGTGAAACTAATAGCAGGATACACTTGAATCCTTTTCAAGCCTAAAGAATCTAGAGTGAGCACTGATATAGTGAAAATGGTTTCTGCTTCTATAGAAAATGTATCTTCTAGATGAATGTTGCCTGCAATAGAGTAACACTGTTTTTCTGCTCTGACCAGCCGGAAACACTTGCTGCATTCACTGGGTATTCATTAAGTGAGATAGTGCCTTGCTTGACTGATCTGCATAAAGTGTGCCTTGATGCTCCCCATTGCCAACTGCAAGCAATTAAGGAGAAGTATAAGCACTCAAAGTAAGTAAACAGGAAGCCAGTGCTCTCTAACCTGGAGGTTTACAAGCACGGGGTGGCTCTGGTTTCGCTGCTTGGGCTACAGCTGCTGTAGCTGACAAACTTCTCACAGTGGTCAGCTTCTATTCCTGAAACAAGCTTCTATCAGCTTCCTGAGGGGAAAACTTTTCTGATCAGGAGAGTAGTTCATCCATAGGTATACAGATGTAGTGGATAAAAATTCTTCTGCAGTGTTGTAGGATGATTCTTTTCTTCCTCAGTGTATGGCACAAGAAGGTGATATCTTTAAATTTGTGAGCTAAACTAATATCTTTAGTGACTGCACTTCTATTCCAGGTACCTGCAGGTGTCTCTTCTGGAACCCCCAGCAGTTCTTCCTCTACAATAGAGACTGTATCCTGGATGTGGAGAAGACTTCCTCCCAGTCAGCAAAGCTGGCTTAATATTTCATAGAGCACTGCAGGTCATGTGTCTGTAACCATAGTGATCAAAATGATTTTTAGCTAGTATTTTTTAATTAGATGCCTTTTCAAAAAAAGGATATTAGACTATAGATCTTAATATAACTGACAGCACTTTTAATAAATGTCTTATTACACCATTTCTCTGTGAATCTTCTGGCTCCTGTTAATATCTGTAGTAACAGTGAGTAAAAAAGGCTGTGTGGTGTGTTGTTTTTTTTTTTTTTTTTTCCCAAAATCATTGTGAGCAGGGCTTTTAAGCTAGCTGGAGTGCATAAAGTGTGGCTTGAACGAACAAAACCTGACATCTCCATAGACATGGGTGACTTGCTGCAGTATCTTATCTATTTCTTCCTTTTCTATGAGACAAGAACGTGCAGCCATGAGCAGAACCTATTCTCTGGAACTTGTTCACCATATCGCAGCAAAAGCATCCAGATGCAATTGGTCTATGAACTCTGAATTTGTGTGTAGAAGACCTCAATGTTGAGGTGAAAGTCAAACTTGCCTTTACTGAGGTGAATAAGGGGGATTCCTTTGCAGGGAGTTGGAGGAAGGGGAGATTGTGGCTGGCAGACCCTTAGGAACACTCCAGACACTTGTGGGCAGACTGCAGTAGAGAGCAATGCTAACAGCTATGAGGAAGAAACTGTGGTGTATGAGGTACTAGAATGGTGGAGTTAAGTGACATGGCTGCTGTGTCGTACTTGTGGTATTGAGTGGTCTTATGGCATAGCTATCTGAGATGACCTCTCCTGCCACTAGAGCCCTGCTAAACATGTGTGCTCTGCAGTCTAGAGAAACATCACTCTTGGTGGGAAGGAGGGGGGTGATGGGACAGGGCTAACTGTCAGCTATCTTATCCTGAGCTGCTACACTGTCTTGTGACCCCCAGTTATTTGTTAGGTAGTGTTCTTTTAAAAACTAACAAAACACTACTTTAAATACTCTTAAACGCAACCCCTGCCCAAAGTAGTTTAAAAAATAAATTAGTTGGTCAATGTGTAGACAACTACATTCAGCTCATCTCTATGGCAAGGTCAGTCTGGGGCAAGCTCTTACTGTAAGAGTTTAAAACCTTCAGTGCCTGCTGCTTCCTCAGCATAATCTTTGCAGGGCATTATGTGTTTCCCAAGCAAGAATATGCTTAACACTTGACATTAACATGCAATTGAGGAGAAGTACTAAGTACCAGATAACAAGCCTCTTACTTTAATTTTAAAACCTGATTATACTGGTGTGTGTGTCATGAGGTTCTTAACTTCAGGGGTTTCACTTCTCTCTGCATGTAAGACTTTCTTCCCCCTGCTTTCTCCCTGTTCAGGCTGGTGAATCCTGCGAGCAATGCAAACACTTGTATTTTTTGAAATGGAGGTAGTAGTAATGACTGATTCACTTGCCTCAAAGTAAATAACCTTTAAGGGAGGGGGGCCTTAAGTTTCAGTCTAGCCTATGTAGTTCTTAGTCTCTTGCTTCAGACACTTTCTAGTCAAATAAATCAGTCTGTTTTGGTATTAACTGATAACAGATGTCACTACATATCTCATGCTTATGTCTGTGGTATCCACTTTATAGTGGGGAGCCTAGATCCATGGATTGCCTCCATGCAATGAATTTCATGGCTTGTGGGTGAATGTCTTAAGTGAAGTTCATAGCCCACCTTTATGCCTGCAGCCAACTCTGTCAAAGTAGGTGGCTCAGTGCAAAGGTTAGAGCCAGAGGTGCCCGGTTACAACGGGGAGTGGTGAATTTTTTGGTTGCCCGTTTCACAAGGAAATGGTGAGTCTACTGAGCAAGAGTCTTGATAAATCTACCAGGCTTATGAGTACCAGCTTGTTTGTGGTTTTTCAGGATGTACATAAGGTGTCCTGAAATCCCATGTTAATAACCCTTAGTCTACTTACAAGTAAAGGCTTGCTGACCTGCAATTGCTATAGTGTTGAGTATTTTGGAAGCAATAACAAATGTCTCGAGTACAGAACTGTTTTCCTAGTGTTATAGCAGTTTGAAGGTATTCATATGGTCATGTCGTGTAATGGGGACGATATGAGTTCTGATCTTATGAAGAGTCTGTGACCACAGTCAGGTCTTGTGTTCCTGAGCCAACAGATCTGGTGCATCTAACGAAGTGGGTGGTGGGCAGGTCTGAATTTACTGAATGTTTTACCATGTAGTGTCTTCCTAGAAGCCAAACTTTGCTTCTGTTTTACTTCTTTAGAGTTTACTTAGCTGCAAGACACTTACAACGGTTGCATTTAAGTTCCTTGGAGCTTTAATTCTCTGGTATACAAACTTGCCTGATTTTTTTTTTTTAAATATAGTATCTGAAGATGACTGTGATTCTTCTGCTTTCTTATTTGTTTTGTCATTATTTTGAAACTGGGCTAGTGGCTTAATTATTCTTTTGGTCCGAAAATTAAAAAGGGGAAAATGAAAAAAGTTAAGTAGTTAAGGTGAAGAATCACATAATGCTGCAGTGTGAATGCTAATAACAAGTTGGTGCGAGATGGATTAAATCTAATTTATGAGACAGAAGAAACTCATCTTGAAGTGGTCTCATCTGAGATCTGTGGTTAATAATGGCATTTTGAATGTTCCTGTTCTATTCTCACTTCCTTTGTATTTGTCTTACTCAGAGCAAGGGAAAGACTTACTGTTCTTGTATGAGTGAGCCTTGACTCTTTCAAGGTGAAAACTGGGTGCTACCTCCTCTCTTATTCTATGTGAATCATCACACTTAACTCTGGCCTACCCTTCATGTGAGCTCTCCTCTGCAGCTGATACTTGAGAAAGGTATAAGAGATGCTTCTGTTGGGTGTATTGTGGTAATGAAGGTGAAATATGCTGTTTATGCATCTGTATTTGAGTGCTTCATCTTATTAAAACACTTAGGAGTACTTAAAAGATGTACTGAAAATCAAGTATACAGGAATATGGATTTATAAGGAGGGAGATGAAAGCAACCCAAAAGAAAGCTTCAAGTTTTCTTTGATGTACTGCTTATATAGAAAAATTAAAACCTGTAAAGCTCACAGCTTTGTGTGATGTATGAAACAAACAGAACCAGACTTCTTGAAGACAGCCATATCCTGGAAAAGAAATAAAGGGGAATCAACATTAAAGACTAAAGAGACACAATCTCAATTCTTGATCATCCCACTTGGTGGCTTGTAGACCATGGTCACAAACAAGACCTCATTTTTTATTTTATTTTTATTTTTTTTGTTCAGGAAATACTGAAACTGTTGCAGTTTCAGAATTGTCAAGCCTGATCTTGCTCATTTAGCTCTGCTATGAAGATGAATCTGACTTTCAGCACTTGTATTTCTAAGGCCAAATATTGAATTCTATGCAGGTAACAGGATCTTCCCTCCCAGTTAAAATGTGTTGGGACAATACACTAGGAATAAAAACTATTGGTGAGACAGCAAGCTGAGTGCATCCAAGGAGCTTTGAGTGATCATTCAATACTCTAAGTCGAGTGGGTTAGAACTGAGAAGTGTTGAGGATTTTAACTTTGACCCATGATGTTCAGTTCAAGAGCTCTTTAACATTGGTATCAAAAACAAAGAAAAAGTTCCCTAACCTTATTCTAGCAGTTTCCATACTATCATGCTGTGACTTTCAGGAGACCTGTGCTGTGATTGTGTGATCCTGATTCTTCTGTGTTGTAGTTAATTTTTTCAACCAACAACTTCTAACGTTAAACTTTTGTAGCTGCCTCTGGTGTCCTGAGAAAGCTGGGGATGCATTGTGGATCCATTGTTTCCTTCAGATTAAAAGGGACAAGCAGAACTCAAAATAATACTCGATGGGAAGGTACTGATTTAACAACTAGTATCTGTCTTTGTTTTCCTCTTCTCTGGAGTGAGTTAAGGATATCAGAGAGGTAATTGCATAATTAGGGAGAATGATTTAACTGTGGTCAGGACAGTTAAGCTATTAATTCATGACTGAAGGGTGTCTGCCTTGCTGGGAAATCTGTCTGTGATTAGTCTGTGTACATACCTGCTTGTTGTCAGTTGTACAAATGACTAGAATTAGCTCTGACTGCTGAGTTTGGTACTTATTTTTGCCAGTGACCTTGAAGCAGCTTGTGGGGCTGCTCCTAAGGATGAGAAACAAGCCAGCAGCATCAGTGATTGCTTCCTAGAATTAAGCTTTTTGTCTTGCCATTTTTCTCAGCACGTGCTGTCCCAGAGCAAGTTCTCATCTTCGTACACTGAAGAGCTGTGCAGACCCTGATAAGAAGGTGTGAATGGGAGGAGGTGCAGGCCCATCCCCTACCACTCAGGTGTTCTAGACCTCTGTCAAGTTGAGTCTTATGAACTTTGTTAGGTCCCCTCCTGGTTATAGTGGATGTATGTATTTCCCCATTGCATCCGACAATTAAGTCTTATTGAATCTTATTTTTAGCTCTTATGTCTGCTTCATAGTCCTTCTTTTGTATGGTAAGCCCAGACTTTCTCTTGGATGCATGTTCAGGTTGCATCTGATTAATACAAAAAATACAGTTTTGCATGATGAGATGCCCATAATGAACATCCCTGGCAACATGTTTATGGAGGATGTGCACTTTATCTGATGCTCCTGCAGAGATGTAGAGAAACATTGGCTTAGAAAGTCTGTGTAATAAGTAGTTAATATAGCCAGTCCCAGCTCTTCTGTGCCATGCTTGGGGTCCGTCAGTGTAGATGGCAGAAGTGCAAACACTGAAGAGAGTTAGCGCAGACAAACTTCCAGGACAGTCTACAGAAAGGTACTGAGTATACGATACAGTTAATCCTAAAGTACATGCCTATCCTCATCAAATTAACTTGAGTCTAAACTAAGCCAAGGCGAGAAAGACCAGACAGTCCTGGCCCTAATCCTTATAAAGATGCTAAAATTATGGCTCTGTGTCCTGGAGTTTTGTATAGCTCTTGTCCAGTGAGGCTGTGCTGGTATTGAAAAATAATTGTGTGCTAAGCCAGGACTGGTTCCTGGCCAAATGTCTGTCTCTATTTGGCTTGTTTCCATGAAGCTTAGGGCTTGCTTCTTTTTAAGCAGATTTGTCCTGGGGAGAGCTTGTTGGAGCAGGACAAAATAGTCAGTGTGAGCTAACAGGCTGTGTGGGTGGCTGTGTTCAGTGCTCATGCT